AAGGTAATCATGTTCCAGCTATAATTCTTTGGATCCTTATTTTAATTGTCTAACATTCTCCTCCTTAGATCCAAACTCAAGTAGAACACTTTCAACAAAACTCAAACACCTAACCTTCGGAGGAAAGGACTCTAAGTAGTTGAATCCTCCTACAATTCTATCACCAACACCTATAAATACGCGGCCAAGGCTCGTTATTGAGGTACGCTTTTATAAAACAATTGTATCATATACTTTTGCACAATCCCCTGTTTGATTTAAGCATCGGAGGGGCGACGAGCACACACCTCGTTGCCTTTGTTTCAGGTACCGGAAGACGCAGTTCGTGTTCCATCTCAGTCCTCAAGCTCGGGATCTACCAGGTACGATTTTTGGTAACATCATATATGATCTTCAACATTAGCAACTGCTGGATGAGATTTAGATGGCAAACTGTTTGATCTAACATGTAAAGCCATTTGAAATCTAAATTTTGACGATCAATAAAAAATTGAATCAGCTATATATTTATAACTTGGATGATCAATAGAAAAGTTGAATCAGGTATATAGGCAGATAGACTCTAAGGGACAGAAAGGATATTTTCCACCAAATATGTTGGCTTACTATCGTTGTAATTTTATTATATGACTGCACACGAGTACCTTGTCCCATTGATGTTGGAAAGGAAGGCCACTAAAATGTTAAAAATTTGTATGTGCCAGAAATGATCCGAATTAAATGGATCTTGTAGATCTCTGTATGATGCTGCCATAGTTGAACCAGAGAACAAAAGGAATCATGACAGCAATTCATTCGCCATAGTTTTATGTCTACCTGTAGAGACATATCAAAATTTTCCTTCTCCGACGCAACTTTGTATACAATAATTTTGAAGTGGAGATGAAATTAAATATTGGTGCACATGAGTAGATTGTTATTGTTTGAAATTATACTCATAAGCCTCTGTATTGGCATAAAATAATTAAAATTCCAACTAAAAGGAGAATTTTTCTAACCAGTCAACTTTTTTCGGCTAGAGTGAAATATGTTTCCGGCCTAAGGATTTTTTTAATATTGAATAAATGCGTCATATGCAAAGTTTATTAGTACATATGTAAAGTGTTTCTCTCTTCATAGAAACTGACGAAGTCACTTAAGTAAGGTATGTACATCCTCGTGGCATGCACTAGTTGCCATGAAAAAGGGATTTGTCACTACTAGCAGGTCCACATGGCACACGGGCATTGGTTTGATAGTAATGCTGGTGTGTGTAGTGGAATTATTATGACGGTTGATGAACTCACAAGGAGTCAAGCAAGGGGGTGGCATCATAATTTTTTTTCCCAGCAAGTTTGCTCGACATGAGCTACTTTAAATTCCTAGAACTTTTTAATTGTAAGTCATTATCTGGCATCTCATACGGCAGTGGAGTTAGCTGACTATCTCTATTAATTGACATACTTGTCTTCTCTTTTGTGTACGTATAAAAGGGTTTCTTGAGAGGAAAATTTTTAACCTTAACATCCTAGTTTTTCATCTTCTCTTTGTGGGTTTTACAAAGAGTAGGATAGGTAGGCGTGATAAAGCTTTGGATTTTTTTCCTACAGTAAAGATTTGGGCTGGGCAGATTCTATACAATCGTAATTGATGCTATCAAAAATCGTACCTGCAGATTTCTTGAGCTTGATGATTTGGGTTGATCACGATCGTAGTCTTTCGGTACCTGAAACAAAGGCAATGAGGTGTGTTCTTGTCGCCCCTCCGATATTTAAGTCAGAAAGGAAATTATATGCGTGAGGCTATATGCTGGAGAACAATGAAAAAACATACCTGAATAATGGCTCAAGGTTCTGTATTTATAGTAGTAAGCGACATTCTCCTAGTGAGACTCAACTATCTGGATATCCTTATCTCTTGGAGTCCTGAATGGTTAAGGAGTTGTTCAAATTCCATAATTATATCTGGGATAGAGTCCCTGTGGGAGTCAAGTGTGTGGTTGAGTTAGAGTCCTAATTGCGTAGGAATTCTAAAGGGTCAACAATATCGTAGGTTTGTGAGGGGAGCATATGCTCGAGGACTGCTGGTGCTCGAAGACAAGTGTTGGAATGCGCGAAGCAAACGGGGTAGGAAGTGGTCGGGAAAAATAACCCGAGGCCACCATATGCTCGAGCACTCGTAGGTGGAATTGCAAGTTCATCTAAAATTGGTTGTCGGGATAATGTAGTGATCGGGTTGTAGGGAATGTCAGTATCATTGGCCCCCGTGCACATATGCTCGAAGCTTTCATTCGAGGATATGATGCAAAGAGGCTTGAAACAAAAGCTCGGGGTATTTAGTTCGAGGACATTTTTTATGACAGGTGTTCAGAAGGGCTGACGTGCACTGAGGTAAGCCCTAAATAGGAAACTGCGGTAAAAATGGTAGGGGGTGGATGTAGGACACGTGGCCAGATCTGACGGTCGGGGTAGTGACCTTTGGACTACCCGCTCCTGTTGCCTATAAATACTCTCTCCACATTTCATTTTTCACTTTTTACTCTCAGTAAACCTCTCTTGCTAATCGTCGGGATCAGAACTTTGAGTTTTTAGGCGTCGACTTTAAGGTAAGACCTCGAGTTTTTAAGTTATTCTTTAGGTAATTTTTTACCTAGGTCAGGATGTCTAACAGTAGTAGTAGAGAGTCTTCGTCCTCCTCCTCGAGGAGTACTCCCGAGGACATAGGATGCTCGATCATACCTATGGCCATCCCAATTAATGCCCAACCTCGGGCACAAAGTATCCCGACCCCATTTAGGTACCCCGAGGTTCCTTGTAAATTTAAAGAGCATCTAGCAATATCGACGGCTAGGGAGCATGGGCTCATGCCGAAATGTAACATTAGGACGCCATGGGTAGAGGATAGGATGGCCTTTGCTCGGGATGGAGAGTTCGTGATTTTTAGGGACTCACTAAAGGGGGGATTTAGATGGCCCCTGCATCCCTTTTTTGTGTCTTTATTGATCGAGCATAACATGAGCCCTGGACAGCTCGTGCCAAATGGGTGGAGGATGCTCACCTATTTTTTTATAGCCTGTAGATACCTAGGAATTAGCCCATACATTGATCTTCGTAGAATGGTCTTCGACCTGAAACAGCTACCTCAATATACTTGTTTTGCCTACCTTTCATGCCGAGGAGGCTTTAGATTACCGAGGATGCCCAGTTCATTGAAATGATGGAAAGAAAAGTGGTTTTATATCGTACCTCAAGATAGTGACCTTCCTTTTAGTCCTAGGTGGGTTTTGCCCGACACTCCCAGGTTTTGTGAAGGCCAGGCCTATTTTGAGTCTTTAGAAAGGCATAGGATGATGTTAAAAAACCTTGAGCCTCTTGTATATGATATAGACGACATCCTCGATCTCGTGGATGTGAAAGGCACCGAGGGTAGGGATCATCTTTTTACCTTCTTCCTTATTGATCTGTCTTTGAACAATACGATTGTGCTCATGTCAATGACTTTTTTTTTTGCAGAGATGACTTTTGATCCTTCAGCTCTCAAACAGGCCCTGAACAAAAAGTCGAAGGCCCCTCAAGCTCGAGCTCCAGGTCAAAAGAGAGGGAAGAAGAGAGCTCGAGATTCAGGCCCTGAGAACATTAGGTGTGGGCCAGGCGAACCTTCTGCCCGGGGACAATCTTCGACCATACAGGCCAATGAAACTCCAACTGCCCCTCCTCGGTCATGTCCTCGGCCAAGGAATACCCCTGGGGTTGTTAACCTCGAGGATGAGGTCCCCCCTATGCCTTCATTCCAAAGCCAAGATCCTGACCGGCGTCCCCTGGGGTCCAGCATCGTGGACAAATATCGAAAGGACCTCGAATTTGACGAGGGAATGAAGGCTCTTGAATCCCTTACACTAAAGGTAAGCTCGCTCAACTTACTTGGTGTAATTTATGGGTTTATATGATGTGATCGCTTAAGCTCGGGTTCATTTGATGCAGGCTCTGAGCATTGCCCAAAGCCTTTCTCTAAAGGGAAAGACGAGGCTATAAAAATGCTGAGCTCAAGGATACTTCTCGAGCACATGAGAAGAGGATAGCCGACATGGAAGCTGAGCACTTCCTTCTCCAGAGGGAGCTCAAGGACTCGAAGAACGACGTCCAGAGGGCTTGGGAAGAGGTTGGGGCTGCCAAGGACGAGGCTGAGGATTTAAAGCTCAAGATTGAGCGTTTGAAGATTAATTTCGAAATTCGCCTGGCTGAAGCTCGAGGGGTTGCGATCGAGGATTTCAAAATGTCCAAGGAGTTCAACGGGCTTAAGGGAGAGTACGCCATGGGCTCGTACTTCCACGCTTTCAAAGAGGCTTGGACATTTTTGAGGTCGAAGCCCGACGCCAAACCCGAGGATTTAAAGAGCATCCTTGAGGTTGCTGATGACCTCGAGCTTTCAGAGTCCGAGGAAATCGTCGAGGACCATGAGGTCAATATTGACGACGAGGATGCGGCGGAAGAGCAGGGGAGCACGGCATCGGGAGAAAGAGCCGAGGGCCTAGATTAGTTTATGTTTTTCTCATGATGACATCCCCCTTCTTTTGTATTTTGAACAAGTATTTTGCTCGATCTTAGATAATGTTCCATTTATGGTATTTTGCTTGATCAAGTATTTTTCATTTTGCGCGAATATTGACGACGAGGATGCGGCGGAAGAGCAGGGGAGCACGGCATCGGGAGAAAGAGCCGAGGGCCTAGATTAGTTTATGTTTTTCTCATGATGACATCCCCCTTCTTTTGTATTTTGAACAAGTATTTTGCTCGATCTTAGATAATGTTCCATTTATGGTATTTTGCTTGATCAAGTATTTTTCATTTTGCGCGATCATGTATGGCCGATGTCTCGATCATGACAAACTCAAATAGCTCGACGTTAAGATGATTCAATAACTTGATGCCTAAGATGAATTGACAACTCGATGCCTAGATTAATTAAATATCTCGACGCCTAGACGAATTTTTAGCTTTGACGTACGCGAGGATGTATTAGTTATCTCGAGGACTCAATTTATAAAATCATTTATGAACATTAAAGCATGTACACGAAGTTAACTCAAAGACTCAATTTGTAAAATCATTTATTGTGTTGAGCTCGAGTATGTACAAAGTTATCTCGAGGACTCAATTTGTAAAATCATTTATGAACATTAAAGTATGTACACAAAGTTACCTCGAGGACTCAATTTGTAAAATCATTTATGGACATTATGTGTTGAGCTCGAGCATGTATGCATGACGACGTAATCGTATCGACCTATAGCGTGATTCCCGAGGACAGTAATGGCCTTTTTATAAGATCTCTTATACCATCGATCGGGCATTGTGTGGTCGGGAATGTTACTTGACGTGCTTGCGCGGGGCAAGGCTTGTTGATTGCTTACGCAGGGCAAGGCTTGAGTTGCTTGCGTGGGGCAAGGCTTGTTGATTGCTTGCGCAGGGCAAGGCTTGAGTTGCTTGCGCGGGGCAAGGCTTTTTTGATTGTTTGCGCAGGGCAAGGCTTTTTGTAGTTAGATCATATGTTGACGAATTCTTAATTCTTATTATACTTTAAAAATAGACTTGGCACACAGGCCTGACAACTAAAAATGTGGACCTTGGCACGCAGGCTTGACTATCAAAAAATAAAACTTGGCACGCAGGCCTGACAATTGAAACGTGAACCTTGATGCGCAGGCCTGACTACTGATAACCGGAAGACCAAGTTACTTGTAATATATCTTTAAGTTCTCGGCGTTCCATGGTCTTGGAAGCGGCCTTCCTGACATATCCCTTAAATTGTTTGCGCCTCCTTGGAGTTGTTGTATGACTTCGAAGGGCCCTTCCCAAACTGGTCCTAGCTTTCCCGAAGCATGACCTGCTGCTTCTGCCCTTCTTAACACAAGGTCTCCAGCCCTGAATCTTTGTGTCCTCACTTTTTTTATTGAAATACTTTGCTATTCTATCTTGGTCAGAGGCCATTTTTAAAGCTGCCAGATTGTGAACCTCTTCCAAGAGGTCGAGTTGTTCAGTGGTGCGCCCTGCATCTTTGAGCTCAAGTCTTCTTTGGCTGGGCAACCTGACTTCAATAGGGACGGTGGCTTCAATACCGAAAGCTAACATGGAGGGGGTTTTCCCCATAGCGGTTCTGTAGGACGTTCTATATGTCCAAAGTATGGAGGGTAACTCGTCAGACCAGGAACCTCTTTCCTCTCCAATCCTTGTACGGAGATCTTATAATATAATCCGATTGGTTACTTTGGCAAGACCATTACTTTGAGGATGGGAAACCGAAATCAGATGGTGATCGATCCCTAGGTTGGAACAGAAGTTTTTAAATTGTGCATTGTCAAACTGCCTGCCATTATCAGTTATGAGGACTTTCGGTATCCTGAACCTGCATATGATAGATCTCCAAATGAAACCTCTCAACTTAGGCTCTGAAATTGTTGCTAAAGCCTCGGCCTCAACCCACTTAGTGAAGTACTCTACAGCCACAGCCACAAACTTCAATTGTTCCCTAGTTATCGAAAAGGGACCAAGGATGTCAATTCCCTACAGCTCAAATGGGGTCGTGCAACTAATGCTAGTGAGGCCTTCTGCGGGAGGGTAGATGACATTGCCAAACCTTTGGCACTTGTCACACTTCTTGACATATTCCTGAGCGTCTTTCTTCATGGTTGGCCAATAATATCCATACCTTATGAGCTTGAAGGCTAATGCCCGAGCTCCTTGATGGTTCCCACATACACCTTCATGAACTTCTTCTAGGGCCTGGGATGATTCGGAAGGCCTAAGGTATCTGAGATATGGAAGTGTGAGGCTCCTGCGAAATAAAACACCTTCAATCATGCAGTACCTCAGAGCTTTGGACCGGATGCTTCTCGCTGCCCAAGGATCCTCTGGAAGACTGCTATGTTTTATGAAGTCCACTATTGGGTCCATACACGATGGCTCATTATCAATATCCATGACGCTTATGGTCTGATTGATGCTTGACTCGGTTATAATTCTGACATGGACTGTCCTGTCAAGCCCATTGATTCCCATGAACACCAATCTTGACAAGGCATCGGCCCTACAGTTCTTAGCCCGAGAAATTTTTACAATTTCACAACTCTTGAACTTTCTTTGGAGATCATGCACTTTCAAACAGTATAAGCTCATCTTCTCATCCTTCCTATTGAACGTCCCTTCGATTTGTTCAACCACCAACTGGGAATCACTGTAAATTTTGATATTTTCAAGCTCGAGATTTATGGCGAGTTCCATGGCTATGATGACGGCCTCATACTCTGCTTCATTATTGGTCCCTTCAAACTCGAACCTGAGTGCACACTGAATGTTTATCAGCATGTCTGGGCTTATGATTATGACCACTGCACCCAAGCCCGAAGAGTTTGATGCTCCATCTATGAAAATTTGCCACATGCCTGTGGTCGAGCTCGAGCTACCATCTGGCCCCCGAGGCCTTAGGGTGAGTTCTGCAATGAAGTCAGCTAAGGCCTGAGCTTTGATAGAAGGACGGGGCTTGAATTCTATGTCAAATTCTCCAAGTTCAATTGCCCACTGCAGTAGTCTTCCTGAAACGTCTGGTTTCTGAAGAATGTGTTTTAGAAGCTGATTGGTGAGCACAACAATAGGATGTAACTGAAAATATTGCCGAAGTTTTCGTGCTGCTACTATCAGTGCAAGGGCAAGTTGTTCTGCCAAAGTGTATCTTGTTTCTGCATCAAGTAGGACTTTGCTTACTTAATAAATGGGTTGCTGGCCTCTGTTAACCTCTTTCACCAAGACACCACTCACTGCATTCTGAGATACGGCTAAGTACAAATACAGAGTATCTCCGGGCTTGGGTTTGGTAAGGATAAGAGGAGATTCCAATGTCTGCTTGAGCTCCTGGAAAGCCTTCTCACACTCTTCACTCCATTCAAAGCAATGATTACCCCTGAGGGCTTTGAAGAAGGGGAAGCACATGTTTGCTGCTCGAGACATGAACTTATTTAAGGCGGCTACCCTACCTATCAACTTTTGAATCTCTTTCTTGGTCCTTGGCGATTCCATTACTGCCAGAGCTTGAATTTTGTCGGGGTTAGCCTCAATCCCCCGATGAGTGATCATGAAACCCAGAAACTTTCCTGAAACTATGCCAAATACACACTTCTCTGGGTTGAACTTCATCTTATATTTTCGTAGGGTGGCGAACACCTCCTCAAGGTAGGATATATGTTCCTCCACCTTCTTACTTTTCACAACCATGTCATCCACATAGGCCTCGATGTTCTTCCCTATCAAATCGACGAAGACTTTGTTGATGAGCCTCTGATATGTTGCCCTAGCATTTTTCAACCCAAATGGCATCACCCTATAGCAATATATGGCTAAATCAGCCATGAATGAAGTCTTCTCTTGGTCTTCTTTGGCCATGAGGATTTGATGATACCCTGAGAATGCATCTAAGAAGCTGTACAGTTTATGTCCGAATGTGCTATCCACAATATTATCGATCCTAGGTAGCGGGTAGCTGTCCTTTAGGCATGCCTTATTCAGATCTATGAAGTCAATGCAGACCCTTCACTTACCTCTGGGCTTTTTCACCAGAACAACATTAGCGAGCCAATCGGGGTATTGGACTTCCCTTATGAACCCCGCTCCCAACAATTTGCCGACTTCTTCCTGAATGACCACACGTCTTTTCGGTGCAAACTGTCCCTTCCTTTGCTTAACAGATTTGGCCCTTGGGCTGATATTAAGTTTATGGACAGCTACTTCTAGGTCTATCCCTGGCATATCCCCCACCTTCCATGCAAAAACATCAATGTTGTGGGACAGACAACTGATGACTTTCTCTCGGAGGTTGGCCTTCAGATCCCGACCAATAGTAACAGCTTTTTCGTGCTCAAGCTCGACCACTTCCAATTCTTCAACGAGGGCCAATCTACCCCTTGGCTCGAGCTCGAGCTTCAGGTCTGCGAGTTGCATGACGTCAGCACTCATGCCTCGGATGCTTGTAACATAGCACTGTCTAGCCGCTGTTTGGTCTCCTCGAACTACTCTGATGCAATGACCTGTGGAGAACTTCATGGCGAGGTAAAAAGTTGACACAATAGCCTGGATCTTATTCAGCTCGATGATGCCTTCAGGGATAATGACTCCACCACCAAATCCTTATAGGGGAGTTTTTACTGCTTTGAGATGTTTGGGAGAGATTCCCATTTTGGCGAAAGCCTCCCGCGACAGTATGTTCGCGACACTCCCGTTATCAACCAGAATCCTCCTTACTTCGAAGTTAGCCACAACCGCAGAAACGACCAAGGCATCGTCATGAGGATATGATATTCTTTCCAAATCTCTTGCACCAAAAGTGATGTCTCTAACTTCATCACTGGATTCTCTTGGGGTATGAGCATGTTGGCGGGTATACTGCTTTCACCCATTACTTGTGTCTCCGCCGGACGCTATGTCCCCAACGATAATATTAATAGTTCCGGCAGTGGGTTGAGCACTGCTTCCAGCCCCAGGCTCTTTTCGATTGTCACAGTCATTCCTTGGCCGTTTATCATGACCAATGTAATTCTTTAAAAACCCTCTTTTGATAAGGGCTTCAATTTCTCGCTGTAAAGCATGACAATCATCTATAGTATGCCCATGATCCCGGTGAAATTCGAAATACTTGCCCCTATCTCTTGTGTCAGGGGACGACTTCATCCTTGAAGGCCACTTTAATTCTTTCATATCCTTAACCTCCATCAAAATGTTTGTTTTAGAGGTGTTCAACCGAGTGAGAGGTGCTGATGGCGCCTCGTTCCTGCACTTATCCCGGGGAACCTCATGCCGGGAGACGGGATCATGTTACCTCTTGTTCTCTGTCTTTTCATGGGAAGGACCAGGTCTCCTTGGATTTAGTGTTTCCTCTATATTAATGTATTTTTCAGCTAGGGTTAGGAGCTCAGTCATTGTCTACGGCGGGGTCTTTGATAAAGACATCTTGAAAGCTTCACATCTTACGGCGTAAGTGAGGGCGGAGATAGCTGTTGTGATGTGGGAGGTCAGGTATTTGAAACCTTTCCTTGTTAAACTTTGTCATAAATCCTCGCAGGATTTCGGTTGGTCCCTAGCGAAGTTGCATGAGAGAGGTCGCGGTCTTCCTGATTTGCTTGCTACTTGCAAAGAAGGCTGAGAACTTATCAGCCAAATCTGAGAATGAGGCTATGGAGTTGGGCTCCAATGTCGAGAACCAATCCCTAGCAGCATTGGTCAGCGTTTGTGGAAAGGCTTTGCACATAACCTGATCCGGCACAACTTGCAAGTTCATGACATCAGTGTATACATTGAGATGGTTGATAGGGTCGGTCGTCCCATCATACTCTTTAATGTGAGGATATTTGAATCTGTCGAGCAAGGGATATGTTTATATCTCTGGCGTGAATGGAGTGTTGGGGTGAAACCTGTTGGCCCCCGAGCATTACATTGTAGGCCAGTTGTAATTCCCTCTTGAATGATCTGGGCAATTTCACCGAAATCCATGGCGACCGATCTTGAGCCCGAGGCCATATTATGAATTCCCGAGGTTCCTACTCCGCCATTTGCTGGGTTTGGTGGTCGTGCTCGAGCATCGGCCATAAAATGGCTATGCTCTGCCTGCGCTAGCGACGGATGCAAATTTCTTTGACTTAACAGTTGCGTGAGCGTGGTCACCTGCTGACGCAGCTCTTCAAAGGCTTTGGTTGTGATGACTGCTGGCAGAGGTGTGGGCACTCCCGAGGATTCTTCATGAGGAGCCGGTTGATCTTCGACAGGATGAGGGATGGGAGTGGATGAGCTTGCAGAAGGAAGACCTGATCGCGTGTTAACCATGGCTTTTGGTAGCGTTTCCCACAGACGGCGTCAATGATGCTACCAAAAATCGTACCTGCAGATTTCCTGAGCTTGATGATTCAGGTTGATCACGATCATAGTCTTTCGGTACCTAAAACAAAGGCAACGAGTTGTGTTCTCGTCGCCCCTCCGATACTTAAGTCAGAAAGGAAATTATATGCATGAGGCTATATGCTGGAGAACAATGAAAAAACGTACTCGAATAATGGCTCAAGGTTCTGTATTTATAGTAGTAAGCGACATTCTCCTAGTGGGACTCAACTATCTAGATGTCCTTTTCTCTTGGAGTCCTGAATGGTTAAGGAGTTGTTCAAATTCCATAATGGGATAGAGTCCCTGCGGGAGTCAAGTGTGTGGTTGAGTTAGAGTCCTAATTGCATAGGAATTCTAAAGGGTTAATAATATCGTAGGTTTGTAAGGGGAGCATATGCTCGAGCACTCGTAGGTGGAATTGCAAGTTTATCTAAAATTGGTCGTCGGGATAATGTAGTGATCGGGTTGTAGGGAATGTTAGTATCAGTAATAATTTTCATATAATGGATATTTCTATCTTCGATAGTATTTACATTTTGTATTTTTTTTTCATATTTTAATTTTGTGGTTTATAATATTTTCTCTAAACAAATATCCTTTGAGAAAATCGAGGAATTGGACTCAATTTCCAACAATTAGGACTCTCAAAACTTACGTTGGCCATGCTACTTGTCATGACTTGTGCCTTAACTTATTTAGTGCACAATTCAAGACATATACTTTGGACGTTTGAGGTGTGCGCTCATTTTTCTCCATCCTTTCACATAATTATCAGCAAGATCTTCTTTGGTAATCTGAGTACTAAAATTTGACATTTCTATCATGGCTATATGTATATATATGTCATTCTCAATTTTTTTTAAGAATACGACATTTGCATAAGAAGATGTCATAATTTTAATTGATAACGTAATAAGATGTCCAATGGCACATAGCATTGTTCAATTAGTATTGGACAATGTGGAAAAACTTTATACAAAAACAATTATTATGTTAGAGTAGAAATCAAATAAATTTTATTTATTCAAACTCCACATTTTCCAGTTCTCTCTGTAATTTTGGACAGACAAAAAAGGAAATAAGTGTATCTTATGGGACGAAGAGAGCATAGTGAATGAATTTCATGTCCTAATGATCTGAAACAGAAAGCGGACATCATTTGAATATTTTATTCGTTATAGATAATGCATGCATTTGAAGCTGAAAAATTGGATAATTCAGATAGTGGAAATTATCAAAATAGCCAATTTTTAACTTTGCATTTACAAACATGTCACTTTTTTTTTTTTTGACATTGCAAGAATGTCAATTTTAGACATATTAGCCCCTCTAGCCAATCTCAGATACCCTACATGTCCTAATGGAAGAAATTGTACCAAAATTAAATGAGATTTGACCCATGTGCAGAAATTGTACATAAACCTGTCGTGTGAAGTTGAAGAAAAAGGGAAAAAATTAGACCCCATACCAATGGAAAAAGTTAAAAAAAAAATCAACCCCAATTTTTAGGGTTTAGTTCATACTCTTCCTCTCTTTGTGGCCGGCATTGGAAAGATCCAAGAAGGTCGAAGTCCACATCTCTTTGAAGTCTAAGCCCTGCCGTCGTCGACTCTCTTCATCTCTCTGTGGCCGGTGCATTCGAAAGTTCGAAGAAGGTCGAAAGTCCACATCTCTTTGAAGTCTAAGCCCTGCCGTCATCGACTCTTTTCCTCTGTCTGTGGCCGGTGCATTCGAAAGATCCAAGAAGGTTGAAAGTCCACATCTCTTTAAAGTCTAAGCTTGTCGTCGTCGACTCGCCATCCACGCCGCTGCCTGCGTAGCCTTGCCGTACCGATAGGTTGTATGTAATATGATTTTAGATTTTAATATTCTTTCTCCTTTTTTATTTTGCATCCAACAATTTGTTAAGCGTAGTGGGCTAAATTGGGGATAATTTATTGAAGATTCGAAAACCATTATGAAAATTGTAATGAAAATGCAGTATCCAATTTCCAGTGTTTGTGTACCATAACAATGAACTATAGATAGTTTGACAGTTGAATATAGGGAAAAAAATGATGTAAATAGCTTTTTGAAAAGATGATTAATTTAGTTTACAGCATAAACATTAGCACATAGCCCAAACGAAAACCTAATACATAATCAAGTCATAAGCATCCAACTTCCAGAAAACTACCAAAAAATTCTTAGGAAAGATTGAAATGAAAAAGATTCCCATGTTAAAATAATAAAATGTGGCACCTCATAGAAAAATTTAAATTATTTTATTAAAATTATGTTTCGTAGTAGCTTAATATATACACAAACCATTATTATCAAAGTGTTGAAGATGCCAACTATACTAAAGGAATAAACCCTTTCAACTTTAGCTGTTAACAACTATGAGTTAATGTCAAGAAATTATTGTCCTAAATGACCTCTAATCAATTCCAAGTTAGTAACAACTGATACTCATGTTCCCTTTCTCTCCATATGTAAGATCAAAGCAAAGACAATTAGCTTCATAGTTAACTCCCAACAAGGTGCATTCATAAAAAAGAAAGAAGCAAGCACTATCAAGAAAAACTCAAACCACAAAAAGATCAGACAGTGTGAGAAGAGCGTTGTGGAGAGGAGCAGGTTGCTCCCAGTCTGAGGTTGCGTGTGGGGTTTACTTTAAATTGTAAATATTTTTAATAATAAATTAGTTGTGTTGATTGGTTCGTCAAAGATCTTGTTCGGAAAAACTCTAAATTGTCAACTTATCAGTTGGGCCTCACATACATATCGTCAAAATTCTTGTAATTGTGGATCTCATAACTGATAAGTTACAAATTAAAAAATTGTCCAATTTATTCAATTTATAAGTCCACTTATTTTGATTTATACAATCTATGAATTTTAACTTGATAGTTACATGTATAGAAAGTATTTAAAAACATTAAATCAATTTTTATCGATGTATTTCGTGTGATTTATATGTACCGCCTACTTCTACTATACTCATCACTTATAAAAAACATTAGTGGTTATTGTGGGTGGACTTTTGTTTGTATTGGACAAAAGACACGAACATCGAAACATCTCGTGCTTGTGATATTTTGTATCCCTCTAACTAAATTTAATTTTCATGGAATGTCGATGTATAACTTCAGACATACATGGGAATATTTGGTGTAGCCAATTCCCGCTACTGCAAAAGTCAATTAATGTAATACAAGTCGTTTAGAAGATTTGGTTTCCGATGATTTCGTTTGGTTTAGGGAAAAACTATCTCATGCTAGGATTTGGTTGCTCAATTTGATAGGATACGTAGGATGGATAAATATTTATTTTCTTTCATTTCTTTGATTGTCTCAATTATTGTTGACCATGTTGAGGTGTACAAAATGGTGTCATTGATTGTTTTAAGTATTCGTCAAATAGTTGAGATGTATGATATTGTGTCCTACCTACTTTGACCTACCTACTTTGACCTCTATAATTGTTTCGTTCAAATTACTTGCATACATGTCCTTCATTGTCTCAGATTGACTCTCCATTTATGCTCACTTACTTAAATTTGTTTCCTATTTTTGATAATAAGTACGGTAACTTGAATGACTACGAATCCGTAGCTTCTTTTCATTTTTTCCGTATCATCTACTTCTATGTTAGTAATGATCATCATAGTGTTGCTGACATTTCTCAACACTCTTTCGTGTCAGATATTTTGTTTAGGGAAAAAATTATCGACGCGTGTTTCTAACTTTGGGGGTGTGGTCATATTCCGGATACATTCATAGCTGTTCTATTCCAAGCCTCCCATTCGTATATACCAGGTGAGGATTCGTAACACTTTCTTTCATTTTCAAGTGGGCTAGACATATGGGGTGTTTTTATATGTAACTTACGTTAAATCCTATGCTTGTATGGTGATATATGCATAAATACGATTGGCTATCTTTCCAGTTCCTAGCATGCATGTCTGCCTTCACACATCCTCAGTTATTACTTCTCAAACATACTTGTATGTGGCACTGCCTGATATGTTGAACTTGCACCCCTTAGCACTTATAGCAACTCCTAGTGAACTGTCGACCTCGACACTTGACCCTCTATTTTTCTCGACAGTTATCCTATCATCCCTATTTGGACATCAATCTGCGGTATCGACAGATGTCTACAGATAGTCTGTCGATATCGACGTTTGATCTCTGTACTTCTCGACAGATCATTGTTTCCATGCATGATGTCGCTTCATTATACCGTTAGACATTATACAATATTGTTTATGTTTATAATTTAATCCCATGGGTTTTGTCAACGCACCTTGCAGGGCAAATGGACTTTAAATTCCTGATTCTAGAAGACGCACGGTTGCGGGCCCACATTTCCCAACGCAGCAACCTCAAGTACGTTAAGACCGTGATGGATCATTTTGACTAGCGGCAACGCGAGGACTTTTGTAACTCTCCCCTCGGGTATCTGGCTGATGTTCCAGACATTCAATTCTCTGCCCAGCTAATTCTACAGCTAGTGTTTTGAAGAGTCCACACAGAAAAAGTGAACGAGCTTTAGTTCAATGTGCAAGGCCACCTGATGAGATTCAGTCTACAAGAGTACGCTGCTGTGATGGGGTTAAGATGCCATCTATTCCCGGAGGGGGATGATTTCGATCGATTGATTGAGAGGAAAAGGTTGAAAGAGAGGTACTTTAAGTCTAATGACAAGATATAATTGGCACAACTATAGTCTACTGTTGCCCGACCGTCAACGACGCATGCTGATCGCTACAAGCTAGGGTTGGTTCTAATTGTCAAGGGAGCTTTCAATGCTCTGGATAATAATGTCGGTATCCATTTGCCAACACTATCAATGTTCGACGACATGGACTTCTTTTTTTCCTACCCTTGGGTAGAGTTGGATATAGGCGATTGTTGCACGGGTTCCGGGGTAGCTTTGCAAGAAAATTCCAAAAGGAGAAAGAGATTACATGCACGGTGCAGGCTTCCCCATTGTCTTGCAGGTACGTACGGTTCGTAATATTATCATAGCTTGCATGATTTACCCCTCCGGTAGCATTACACCTATAATCTCGATCATTTGAATGTGTTTCTGTTGTTGCAACAGGTTTGGGCATACGAGGTGATTCCAGAGATTGGGAAATGCTTCGGTCAACGAGTCAGTGAACGAATGCCATGACTTCTTCGCTGGTCCGCACGAAAGCAGCCATAGCATCGTATGTACGATGCATTTTTCAAGAATGTACAGGTACAATTACGACATGTGTTCGTGTTTCCTTTACCATCTCGTGACAATCTGTTACGTTCTCATGTGATTATCATAACCTTATTTTGCAGCTGCATGTGTACGCCACTCTTCGCCCCATCGATGCAAAGGCTGAGCAGCCATATTTGTCCACTCTCATGCCGTACGATGATCCCCCAGTGTCCGTGCTTGATGACATTGTGAGGACTGTGCTTGGGCTGTAGTTTCATTCTTTGCACGTCGATAGTGGAGTTGGTGGACAGTCGGGAAGGCAAGATTTGGGCGACAGAGTCCGTAGTGGACGAAATGGTGACGGTGAGACATCCGGAGATGATGACAGCGATGGGCAGTCAGGAAGTGATCACGATGGCGACGATAGTGAGGATTGCAATGGTGACAACAGTGAGGATACTAGTGAGTCTTCCACCCCTCCGGCGGCACCGGTTCCTTCACGAATGGAGAGGAGAAGTTGAGGAGCTGCTATTGGACCAAAGAATCCTCTTCGAGATGCGACTCCGGAGTGTAAAGCTTGAAATTGAACAGCACGTGACATTTGAATGTACAAGACTCCGTGAGTTCATTGCTTCCTTAGTGGCCCCACCTCCCCCCACCACCTCTTCGTGCTTAACAGGCGCCATTGTTGAGCCCGATGCTTCAGGTTGTTCACCACAAGGTTTGGATCTGACACGTGCTATTCTGTTTTATTTTCTGAAATTGACCACGGTCCAACCGTGCCCAACGTACCTATTTTGAACACTTGTTTCATGTCACAATTGGGATGTAGACGTACATAGATGAGGCACAGACCTATTGTCCACTCCAATTGAAATGGGAGTCGACAAAGGATGTTCACAGCCTCCAGGTACGTGCGCTATTCACGAGCAATTCTAGACATTTTATTGCCTGGACGTTGTATGATGCTTGAGTTGGGAGATGTAATGTACTCTCATTATGTCATTGTTGCTTTCTACAGACGGAGCATACGGTCCTCCATGCACGGACGAGGGGGAGCTGCTTGTAGGAACTGAAGACTTGCCAGGTATGTGGGTAATTCATGCACAAATCGAAACATGTTATTTCATGGACTATGCATGTTGTGAAACTTGACATAACAAATGTACTCACATTATTTTATTGTTGTTTTCAATAGAGGGAGCTGACATTGTGCCATGCCCGGACGTCGAGCACGAGCCGTTGCCCACTCCAATTGACGATAAGCAAGGTATTGCATCCATTACGAGCACTTTTTGCAATTTTATGTCATGGCATTTGCTTCCTTTGCCACTTCATGTAATGCTATGCATTTACGTGTGTTCTGTTAATAAGATGGAGCTAATACAGAGCCCTCACAAGCGGCTGCGGTCAGCGATTTAGAGTTCGACAGTTGCAACGTCACAGATGGCGAAGGTAAGTTCATTGCATGCGTTACTAGTACGTATAATACGTCTGCTTAGTGGACGTCATCTACGGTAACTCACTTAGCCCTTCCATTTTTACGTAGGTGTTGTCGCTGACGTACCTGTTCCCGCCCCTATACCAGAAGCCGGAAGCAGAGTTCCTAAGATGAGACGACGCTCCGCCCGGCTGCGACGTCCTGTTCCTGCAACGAGGACTCCGTACATGAGGGAGAGGAGAAAGACAATAAAGAAGTAATTGTGAATGAAGTGTCGGGATGGTAGGACGATGGGGTTGTTTTTGGTTTTGCCTTACCGTTAGAGGCGTGCAGATGGTGAACGATGTTGAGGGGAACAATTAATCACTTGGTTTTACGTTTATTCTAACATTGACGCTTGAATGACTCTTGGCATGTGTGTTGGAATTTTGACGCGGGCCTAACATTTTGCCTTGCCGTTAGTTATGACATAATTCATGTCTACTTTTGATGACATTTTGTTCTACTGTTACAGGTCGGATAACTTGTCCATGTCTTATATTACGTGAACAGTCCAAACGTAAGTTCACATGATAAGCGTTGTTTGTCACACTCATACATTAACCTGCTTGATTATTTTCCTCTTGCAATGTTTGTTCTTGTCTCTTCGCATCTATTGTACTTCATCTAATGTGTTTATTCGCTTTTGAGATATGTTCTCTGCATATTTCTAATACTATGTTATCGTTTAAGTTAGCTTTTGAAAATGATCTTTGCATTCTTCAATTTTTTGAAGTTGTCCAAGTTTTGACTTGGTGTCTATTTTAGTTGTCATCACCACGCATTTAATTGTTTTCAGTAAGTGCTCTTCAGTGAAAATAGGATTTATCCCTGGCAGTTGTTCGCGAAATTATTTGTTTCGATTTTTAAATCCATCGCAAGTGTACGGTTCGTTAACAAGTAGTAAAATGGACTATAAGTCCAAGTATCAATCCCACGAGGATTGAATTAGTTCAAATTAATCTAATATGACCTTAACCGAAACACGACAAGCAAATTG